CTTATCAGTATCTTCAATGTGAACATCCTTCAAAAATGTCACATTCATCTTATTCGTGCTTGAAGAAAATGAATATAATCGTAAAGTATTTGAGTCTTTCATTATAAATGAAAATTGGTAAGTTGGTAAATTTGTCTTTAAGAATAATTTATACAAAATATTCAAGTATTTTGTCCGGGGCTCAACAAACTGAAAAAACAGATTAAGAACATTATTGGTTATCAAATGAGCTAGAATTGTTAGTGTGCATACTGGGGAGGATGCTATTTTCAATTATGGACTTTGTAAATGAATCAGGTGGAGTCTAGCTGTTATAGTATGTGTTAGAAGAAAATATAATATAATAATTAGTATGACTATTAAGAGAATTTCAGGGAAAGCTAGAATTGGGTTAATATGTATGAAATATTCATATTTATATGAGTATGCATATTTACATGTATTTGCATTGCTTTATTACTTATATGCGAGGTCAAAATATAAAAAGCAATAAAATTGAAGGCACACTTGAGTCATTGAATTAACAAATGTAGTTATTAAGTGGATTTTCTTCCTTGTTTTTCTGTATTTTTGGGTTCTAGATCATCATAATGAATTAGAATATATACCAATCATAAACACTGATTTCCTTGTGTTTCATCTTGTTATCTATTTTTATTTTTGCTGAAAATTCTGAGCAAATTAAGTGATAGCAACATCATTTTTCATCTGGAAATGGGGAATATTCAACTTTCTGAATTAAGCACCTTACTCCAGCAATTGATATTTAGTTGTTTGCTAACAGATTTTGATCAAATTTAATTATTTAGGTTTATCAAAATTAATACTTAAACTGAACCAAAATAATGTTTTAAACAATCTGCCTTTAGAAAAGAGTAATATAAAGAGCCAGCGCCGTGGCTCACTTGATTAATCTGCTTGCGGTGCCGGCATACCATACGGGCGCCAGGTTCTAGTCCCGGTTGCTCCTCTTCCAGTCCAGCTCTCTACTGTGGCCCAGGAGGGCAGTGGAGGATGGCCCAAGTGCTTGGGGCCCTGTACCCGAATGGGAGACCAGAGGAAGCACCTGGCTCCTGGCTTCGGATTGGCATAGCTCCCGCCGTAGCGGCCATTTGGGGGTGAACCAATGGAAGGAAGACCTTTCTCTCTGTCTCTCTCACTGTCTAACTCTGTCAAATTAAAAAAAAAAAAAATAATGTAAACTCCAACGAGGTACTAAACCTTTTCTTAGCAGAACAATCTTACTTTTGAAGGAGAAGCTTTCTTCTTATCTTATTAGTCATATAATTTAAAATGTTAAGTAGGTTTTTCTGTCAATACTTCATAAGCAGAGTCTTTTTGAAAATCTATTTAAGCATAAAATAAAAAAGAATAAAAATTTATATTATAGATATAAAATTAAGAATAAACGGTACTACACTACAAACCCGAAACAAACTGCATCTGAAAATATCATAGGAATAACTATCGTTTTTCCCAAACACTACTTTCAATGACCAATTAGTAGTTTGAAATGAGTAGCATAGTTCCTTAATAACCTGGGTACTCATTTTTGATTGCGGTACCAATGTAACAATAGTTCAGACCTTCCCAACACCCAACAAATTTCAGATATATCATGGACTCTTTGCTCCATGAGTTTGTTTTTCTAGAGGCTCTGATGAGTAGACAGTAAGTATACCACTCTTTTGAATTTGAAATATTGGTTACTAATGATCTAGAGATAAAAGGCTTTGGAACCCAATTACAGTTTCTTTTCCTATCCAAATATTTTATACATAACATTTTTAAAATAATAACCATATTTTCATGTATATTGCAGAATCCTGAAGGGAATATAAAATGAACAAGATACTTTCCCAAACTGATTATATATTTATCAGATTATTCATTGGTTTGGAGTGGATTTATTATTCAGTCTTCAGTCATTCTTAAAATCACAGCCTGAAAGAGGAAATGAGCTAAACACTAAAAAGGAAACAAGAAAATAATATACTTTTAAAGGATCTCAGCTCTCCAGCCAATATTTTACATCTTCCTCTTTTGACTCAATGAGTTCAGAATCCGATATTTTAAACAACCAATATAGTGAGATCAGAGCAACTGCAGGGATACATATGAAACATCTACAGGAAGTCTGGTCAAAGGAAGTGTTCTAATGCTATTGATGCTCTCTTCACTCTTTAAAACTTGATCTCAGTTGCTAATATAATCTTTAAAGCATATAAAAATTTATAGTCAATAAAAATTTTTTGAAACCAAAACATGCTTATCATTACTGTTAATGGTTTCTCCTTTTCCTTGGTTTATAGAATATTAGTTTATTGGTTAAAATAGAGCATTGATCTTATCTGTTAAATTTCCAGACTTTTCTCTGTTGATAAAAGTTAATTTGAATGTGGCCAATTATTTGTGGATCCACAAATTATGAAAAAAGTGAATATGATTTTTCTGCACAAATTTCGAAGTAAAGCAGTGTTTCATATGGTGGTTTTTGTACTACATTCTTGGAAGATGTGTGCTCTGATAAAAGAGATTTCTTAAACAAGGTGGTGATTAGAATTGGTGGCATAGTATTTTAATATTTTAAAGTGTGAGCATGTTCCTGTTTCTATAAGAAGTAATAAATTCAGTGACTCTCTCAGTCTTTATATTATCATTGTTTTGCAGCCTTGAGTTTAGCTGAAATGAATTTGTGCCCAGATACAATCTTTCACTTTTGTATTCCAAAAATAGGCCATACATGGGTACATTTAACCAGTTATTGAATTTTTTAATGACTTTCCATTTACAGGCAAACTAGTATTTCCACTTACTACTAGATTACAAAGAAAAGCCTATTTCTGAAGGAATTTCAAATTATGAAAGTAACAGGGTCTGGGAATTACATGAATGGGCTTCATTCTCCCTTTCAGGTCTGAGTGGATGAGAACATGATGCTTCGTGTATGGAAGAAATATCTTCCTCTGTTCATCATTCAACTCAGAGTTTCCTTGAAAAAAGAGAAGCATGACTTGTCTCAGTGAAGATACACAGTGGCTGAAAGTGTTCCTATAACCCTACTTAGGTAAATAAGTATATAGTAATTTCAGTCAACACTTCTGGGTAAACATTGTATTAAGGATATTTTCAAATATATGCAAAAGTAGAGATAATATACCAACACCCAATTTACTAACCATTCAGATCCACAGTTATGAACATAACACTCCAAAGAATTTATCTATAACCCTCATCTGCCCCTCCTCTTGATTATCTTGAATGCAATTCCAGACGGCATTTAATTTTATCCTTAAATATTTCAGTGTGATTCTCAGGCAAGAACAAGCATACAGCATAGTTGTTAAGATTCCTGCATCCCATATGGGAGTGCCTAAGTCTGATTTCTGGCTATAGCTCCTGAATCCAGCTTCCTGCTAAGGCACATTCTTGGAGGCAGCAATGAGGGCCCATATAACTGGGTGTCTGTCACCCACATGGGAAATCTGGATTGAGTTCCGGCCTCCTGGCTTCAGCATCTGATAGAATATGAGGAGTGAACAGGCAAATGTAATTGCTCACACTGTCTCTATCTTTATCTCTAACAGCCTCTCTCTCTTGTTGTGTCACAAGTAACAATAAACTAAAATTTAAAAATAAATAAAATAGGAATTTTTCTTTCTAAACTTTACTTATTGACAAAAAATTTTATATAATTATCATGAATAGCATGATGTTTTAGAAAAACATACTTCAATTCATTATCACACCTAAAATGTTTCAATTCCTTAATAGCAATAAATATTCAGTTTGCAAAGTTACTCAGTTATTTATATTATTTTAAAGGGTTTCTATAAAGCCATGTCCAGATTCACTTTGTGAATCACAGTGGGTCAATATGTCTCTTAAGACTCATTCACTGCATAAGACCCCCTACTTGTCTTTCCTTTTTTCCCCTTGCAACTCGTATGTCTGGGAGACAAGAAATTGGCCTGAATTTCCTCACAGTAGGGAATTTGCTGATCACCTCCTCAGGGTGTTATTTAACATGTTTCTCTCTATCCTGTATATCATGTAAACTGGTAGTTAGGAAAATTAAAAAAAAAAAAAAAAACAAAAAAACAAAACAAAACAAAAAAAACCTGGCATGGTTCTAACTCCACCATTTGGGGCAAGTCCGATTGAGCATGTCCCAAATTGTACATCTCCTCGCTCTCTTATTACCACTCTTATATTTAACAGGGATCACTGTTCAGTTAAAATTTAAACACCTAAGAATAATTGTTTTGTTAATCACAGAGTTCAACCAATAGTACTAGAACAAAACAAAGAGAAAATACTAAAATGGATAAAGTATTACATCGTACATCAACAGTCAGGACAAGAGCTGATCAAGTCACTCTTTCTCATAGTGTCCATTTCACTTCAACGGGTTTCCCCTTTGGTGCTCAGTTAGTTGTCACCAATCAGGGAGAACATAGGATATTTGTCCCTTTGGGACTGGCTTAATTCACTCAGCATAATGTTTTCCAGATTCCTCCATCTTGTTGCAAATGACCGGATTTCATTGTTTTTGACTGCTGTATAGTATTCTATAGAGTACATGTCCCGGCCGGCGCCGTCATAGCTCAATAGGCTAATCCTCTGCCTGCGGTGCTGGTACACCAGGTTCTAGTCCCCGTCGGGGCACCAGATTCTGTCCCAGTTGCTCCTCTTCCAGTCCAGCTCTCTGCTGTGGCCCAGGAAGGCAGTGGAGGATGGCCCAAGTGCTTGGGCCCTGCACCCACATGGGAGACCAGGAGAAGCACCTGGCTCCTGGCTTCGGATCAGTGTGGTGCGCAGGCCTTAGCGGCCATTGGAGGGTGAACCAACGGCAAAAAGGAAGACCTTTCTCTCTGTCTCTCTCTCTCACTGTCCACTCTGCCTGTCAAAAAATAAAAAAAAAAATTTAAAAAATAGAGTACATATCCCATAATTTCTTTATCCAGTCTACTGTTCATGGGCATTTGGGTTGGTTCCAGGTCTTAGCTATTGTGAATTGAGCTGCAATAAACATTAAGGTGCAGACAGCTTGTTTGTTTGCCAATTTCATTTCCTTTGGGTAAATTCCAAGGAGTGGTATGGCTGGGTTGAATGGTAGGGTTATCTTCAGGTTTCTGAGGAATCTCCAAACTGACTTCCATAGTGGCTTAACCAGTTTGCATTCCCACCAACAGTGGGTTAGTGTCCCTTTTTCCCCACATCCTCTCCAGCATCCGTTGTTGGTAGATTTCTGAATGTGAGCCATTCTAACCGGGGTGAGGTAAAACCTCATTGTGGTTTTGATTTGCATTTCCCTGATTGCTAGTGATCTTCAACATTTTTTCATGTGTCTGTTAGCCATTTGGATTTCCTCTTTTGAAAAATGTCTATTGAGATCCTTGGCCCATCTCTTAAGTGGGTTGTTTGTTTTGATGTTGTGGAGTTTCTTGATTTCTTTGTACATTCTGGTTATCAACCCTTTATCAGTTGCATATTTTGCAAATATTTTTCCCATTCTGTTGGTTGCCTACTCACTTTCCTCACTGTTTCTTTTGCAGTACAGAAACTTCTCAATTTGATGCATTCCCAAATGTTAATTTTGGCTTTGACTGCTTGTGCTTCTGGGGTATTTTCCAAGAAGTCTTTGCCAGTACCTATATCTTGCAGAGTTTCTCCAATGTTCTCTAATAATTTGATGGTGTCAGGTTGTAGATTTAAGTCTTTAATCCATGTTGAGTGTATTTTTGTGTAAGGTGAAAGGTAGGGGTCTTGCTTCATGGTTCTGCACGTGGAAGTCCAGTTTTCAAATATAAGTTAGCTGTAGATGTTTGGATTGATTTCTGGTGTTTCTATTCTGTTCCATTGGTCTATCCATCCAATACAATCCCATCAAGGTGGCATGTACCGATGCCATCTCACTAGTCCAACTGATCAATTTCAGTTCACAATTGATCACACTGATAGTTCTAAGAGTCAAAGGGATCACACAAACAAGTCTAGTGTCTGCTAATAGTAGCTGATAGAATCAAAAAGGGAGAGAATGATCCATCATGGGAAGCGGGATACACAGTAGACTCATAGAATGGCAGATGTCCTAAATAGCACTCTGACCTCAGAATCAGCCTTTAAGGCATTCGGATATGGCTGAAGAGCCCATGAGAGTATTTTAGGCATGGAAAGCCAAGACACCCTGGAAAAAAGAAAAAGGAAGACCTAAATGGAAGATCTCTGCGAGTGAGATCCCAGTAGAAAAAACAGGGCCATCAAAGAAGGAGGTACCTTTCTCTGAAGGGAGGAGAGAACTTCCATTTTGACTATGACCCTGTAAGAATCAGATCAAAGTCAGCGAATTCAAAAGGCTTCCATAGCCTTGGCAACTCATGACTAGAGCCTAGGGAGATTACTGACACCATAAACAAGAGTGTCAAATTGTTAAGTCAACAACAGGAGTCACTGTGTACTTACTTCTCATATGGGATCTGTCCTTAGTGTGTTGTCCTATGTGAAGTAATGCTATAACTAGTACTGAAACAGTATTTTACACTTTGTGTTTCTGTGTGGGTACAAACTGATGAAATCTTTACTTAATATATACTGAATTGATCTTCCGTATATAAAGAGAATTGAAAATGAATCTTTATGTGAATGGAATGGGAGAGGGATTGGGAGATGGGAGGGGTGTGAGTGGGAGGGAAAATATGGGGGGGAGCCATTGTAATCTATTAATTGTACTTTGAAAATTTATATTTATTAAATAAAAAAAAGAAGAAAGAAAAAAAAAAACCTCTTAAATAAAACTTTTCCCTAAGCACCAATTTGTTATCCAAAAGAATATCTTTATAGAACAGTAAATGCTTATTTATTTCCTTTTATTTGCCAATATTTTAATTAATGTATGCTCTGTCTGCATACTTCATTGGAGAGATAAGCATATAATTTGATTTGCAAAGCTGGACTTTTTTTTAAGTTTAAGGGTCATTATTAAATATACTGGGACAACAGAATAATCCATACTGCTGACATTGGTAAAACAACCCATCCAAAGGTGACCATATTGGTTACAAATTTTGACTTTTTGTTTTCTTTTTAAAATTGTCATCATGAGGCTGGCACCATAGCACAGTGGATTAAGCTGCAACCTGCAATTCCATGAGTGCTGGATTGAGTCTCAGCTGCTCCACTTCTGATCCAATTCCTTGTTAATGCACCTGGGAAAGCACTTGGGCCACAGTCACCTACATGGGTGACATGATTGAAGTGCTCGCTCTCTCTTGCTTGCTCTCTCTGACTCTGCCATTCAAATAAATAAAATAAGTCTTTAAAAATTAAATGAATAAGGGCTGGCCCTGTGGTATAGCAGGTTAAGCCACTGTCTAAAGTGCCAGTATCACATATGGGTGCCATTTCGTATCCTAGTTGTTCCACTTCTGATTCAGCTCCCCCTGCTAATGCTCCTGGGAAAGCTGCAGAAGATGGCCCAGGTACTTGGGCCCTTGTACCCACATGAGAGACTCTGAGGAAGCTTGTGGCTGCTGGCGTCAGTCTGACCCAGCCCTGGCCATTGCGGCCATTTGGGTGGTAAACCAATGGATAGAACGTCTCTCTCTCTCTTTGTCTCTCCCTCTCTCTCTTTGTAACTCTGACTTTCAAATAAATAAATAAACATTTTTTGAATTAAATGAATAAATATAATAAAATGGCATCTTTGCTTATAATATATGCACAGCTTTTTTATGCTTTTAATCATCTCATCATTTCTAGAATACATGTAAGACCTAATACAATGGAAATGCTACATATACATAGTTGCTATACCAGATTGTTTAGAAGATAATGACAAGGGGGGAAATGTTGTATATGTTCAGTACCTATGCACTCTTTTTATATAAAAAAAAAACAGCATGAGCTCATATATTTAAGCATATTTGACATGCTTCAATACTTGCAATGGTTGCATGTATTGAGACTCAACAAAATCTGGACCATGACTCAGCAAGTGTTTCCACCCTTTTCTTTCTGTTATGCCAAGATTTTCCAAAATTGTCTTGTGTATTTTGTCAAATTTTCAAAAATTTGTGGAATCAGCCAGCTCTGCAAGACGCTTTATTTCCCCACTTGTAGAAATGGCTTGTAGACACCAAAATCTGAGCGCCAGGGTGTTTATTGTCAACTATTTGGAAGTATCTGGACTTTTTTGGTGGGCACAACTAGAAAATATATTTTAAAAGATAAAATGGATTAGAAAATATTACTCCATATTGAATTAAAATTCAGAACCATAAGATTTTTAAAACTTAAAGTTTTTTTTTAAAGATTTATTTGTTTGAAAGTCAGAGTTACACAGGGAGAGGAGAGACAGAGTGAGAGAGTGGTCTTCCATCCATTGGTTCACTCCCCAGATGGCTGCAACAGCCGAAGCTGTGCTGATCTGAAGCCAGGAGCCAGGAGCTTCTTCCAGGTCTCCCACGCGGGTACAGGGGCCCAAGGACTTGGGCCATCTTCTACTGCTTTCCCAGGCCATAGCAGAGAGCTGGATCGGAAGTGGAGCAGCCGGGACTAGAACTGGTGACCATCTGCGATGCTGGCACTTCAGGCCAGGGCGTTAACCCGCTGCACCACAGTGCCAGCCCCAAAACTTAAACTTTTTTTTTTTAACTTTTATTTAATGAATATAAATTTCCAAAGTACGACTCATGTGTTACAATGGCTTCCCCCCCCATACCGTCCCTCCCACCCACAACCCTCCCCTTTCCCACTCCCTCTCCCCTTCCATTCACATCAAGATTCATTTTCGATTATCTTAATATACAGAAGATCAGCTTAGTATACATTAAGTAAGGATTTCAACAGTTTGCTCCCACACAGAAACATAAAGTGAAAAATAATAGATGATTTTTTTTTAAATGATGATGAAATCAGATCAGACCTATTGTCATGTTTAATCCCAGTGAGAGTCAAGTTGGGAATTGATCATTTCTTTTTTCTTTTTTTTTTTTTTTTTTACCAAAGATCAGTTTAGTATGCATTAAGTAAAGATTTCAGCAGTTTGCACCCCCATAGAAACACAAAGTGAAATATATTGTTTGAGTACTCGTTATAGCATTAAATCTCAATGCACAGCACATTAAGGACAGAGATTCTACATGAGGAGTAAGTGCACAGTGACTCCTGTTGTTGACTTTACCAATTGACACTCCTGTCTATGGCATCAGTAATCTCCCTATGCTCCAGTCATGAGTTTCCAAGGCTATGGAAGCCCTCTGAGTTCTCCGACTCTTATCTTGTTTAGGCAAGGTCATAGTCAAAGTGGAGGTTCTCTCCTCCCTTCAGAGAAAGGTACCTCCTTCTTTGAAGACCTGTTCTTTCCACTGGGATCTCACTCACAGAGATCTTTTGCCAGAGTGTCTTGGCTTTCCATGCCTGAAATACTCTCATGGGCTTTTCAGCCGGATCCGCATGCCTTTAGGGCTGATTCTGAGGCCAGAGTGCTATTTAGGACATCCGCCATTCTATGAGTCTGCTGAGTATCTCACTTCCCATGTTGGATCATTCTCCCCTTTATTTATTCCATCGGTTAGTGTTAGCAGGTACTAGACTTGTTTATGTGCTCCCTTTGACTCTTAGTCCTTTCATTATGATCAATTGTGAACTGAAATTGATCACTTGGAATAGTGAGATGGCATTGGTACATGCCACCTTGATGGGATTGAATTGGAATCCCCTGTTATGTTTCTAACTCTACCATTTGGGGCAAGTCAGCTTGAGCATGTCCCAAATTATACATCTCTTCCCTCTCTTATTCCCACTCTTATGTTTAAAAGGGATCACATTTCAGTTAATTTTCAACACTTAAGAATAACTGTGTATTAATTACAGAATTAAACCAGTCATATTAAGTAGAACAGACAAAAAAACTACTAAGAGGGATAATGTATTAAGTTGTTCATTAACAGTTAGGGCTATGCTGATCAAGTCACCATTTCCCATAGTGTCCATTTCACTACAACAGGTTTCCTTTTTGGTGTTCAGTCAGTTGTCACCGATCAGGGAGAACATATGGTATTTGTCCCTTTGGGACTGGCTTATTTCACTCAGCATGATGTGTTCCAGATTCCTCCATTTTGTTGCAAATGACTGGATTTTGCTGTTTCTTACTGCGGTATAGTATTCTAAAGAGTACATATCCCATAATTTCTTTATCCAGTCTACCGTTGATGGGCATTTAGGTTGGTTCCAGGTCTTAGCTATTGTGAATTGAGCTGCAATAAACATTAGGCTGCAGACAGCTTGTTTGTTTGCCAATTTCATTTCCTTTGGGTAAATTCCAAGGAGTGGGATGGCTGGGTTGAACGGTAGGGTTATCTTCAGGTTTCTGAGGAATCTCCAGACTGACTTCCATAGTGGCTTGACCAGTTTGCATTCCCACCAACAGTGGGTTAGTGTCCCTTTTTCCCCACATCCTCTCCAGCATCCGTTGTTGGTAGATTTCTGAATGTGAGCCATTCTAACCGGGGTGAGGTAAAACCTCATTGTGGTTTTGATTTGCATTTCCCTGATTGCTAGTGATCTTCAACATTTTTTTCATGTGTCTGTTAGCCATTTGGATTTCCTCTTTTGAAAAATGTCTATTGAGGTCCTTGGCCCATCTCTTAAGTGGGTTGTTGGTTTTGTTTTTGTGGAGTTTCTTGATCTCTTTGTAGATTCTGGTTATTAACCCTTTATCTGTTGCATAGTTTGCAAATATATTTTCCCATTCTGTCGGTTGTCTCTTCACTCTCCTGACTGTTTCTTTTGCAGTACAGAAACTTCTCAATTTGATGCAATCCCAATAGTTGATTTTGGCTTTGACTGCCTATGCCTCCCGGGTCTTTTCCAGAACCTCTTTGCCTGTGCCAATATCTTGAAGGGTTTCTCCAATGTTCTCTAGTAACTTGATGGTGTCAGGTCGTAGATTTAGGTCTTTAATCCATGTTGAGTGTATTTTTGTGTAAGGTGAAAGGTAGGGGTCTTGCTTCATGCTTCTGCACGTGGAAATCCAATTTTCCCAGCACCATTGATTGAATAGACTGTCCTTGCTCCAGGAATTAGTTTTAGATCCTTGATCAAATATAAGTTGGCTGTAGATGTTTGGGTTGATTTCTGGTGGTTCAATTCTGTTCCATTGCTCTATCCATCTGTTTCTGTACCAGTACCATGCTGTTTTGATTACAACTGCCCTGTAGTATGTCCTGAAATCTGGTATTGTGATGCCTCCAGCTTTGTTTTTGTTGTACAAGATTGCTTTAGCTATTCGAGGTCTCTTGTGCCTCCATATGAATTTCAGCACCATTTTTTCCAGATCTGAGAAGAAGGTCTTCAGTATCTTGATTGGTATTGCATTGAATCTATAAATTGCTTTTGGGAGAATGGACATTTTGATGATATTGATTCTTCCAATCCATGAGCATGGAAGATTTTTCCATTTCTTTGTATCCTCTTCTATTTCTTTCTTTAAGGTTTTGTAATTTTCATCGTAGAGATCTTTAACATCCTTGGTTAAGTTTATTCCAAGGTATTTGATTGTTTTTGTAGCTATTGTGAATGGGATTGATCTTAGAAGTTCTTCCTCAGCCATGGCATTGTCTGTGTATACAAAGGCTGCTGATTTTTGTGCATTGATTTTATACCCTGCTACTTTGCCAAACTCTTCTATGAGTTCCAATAGTCTCTTAGTAGAGTTCTTTGGGTCCCCTAAATACAGAATCATGTCATCTGCAAAGAGGGATAGTTTGAGTTCTTCCTTCCCAATTTGTATCCCTTTAATTTCTTTTTCTTGCCTAATAGCTCTGGCTAGAACCTCCAGAACTATATTGAATAGCAGTGGTGAGAGTGGACATCCCTGTCTGGTACCAGATCTCAGTGGAAATGCTTCCAACTTTTCCCCATTCAATAGGATGTTGGCTGTGGGTTTTTCATAGATTGCTTTGATTGTATTGAGGAATGTTCCTTCCAAACCCAGTTTGCTTAGAGTTTTCATCATGAACGGGTGTTGTATTTTATCAAATGCTTTCTCGGCATCTATTGAGATAATCATATGGTTTTTCTTCTGCATTCTGTTAATGTGGTGTATCACATTGATTGTCTTGCGCACATTAAACCATCCCTGCATACCAGGGATAAATCCCACTTGGTCTGGGTGGATGATCTTTCTGATGTGTTGTTGCATTCTATTGGCCAGAATTTTATTGAGGATTTTTGCATCTATGTTCATCAGGGATATTGGTCTGTAATTCTCTTTCAGTGCTGCATCTTTTTCCGGCTTAGGAATTAAGGTGATGCTGGCTTCATAGAAAGAATTTGGGAGGATTCCCTCTTCTTCAATTGTTCTGAATAGTTTGAGAAGAATTGGAGTTAGTTCTTCTTTAAATGTCTGGTAGAATTCAGCAGTGAATCCATCTGGTCCTGGGCTTTTCTTTGTTGGGAGGGCCTTTATTACTGTTTCAATTTCTGTCTCAGTTATGGGTCTGTTTAGGTTTTCAATGTCTTCCTGGTTCAATTTAGGTAGGTTGCATGTGTCCAGGAATCTATCCATTTCTGATAGGTTTCCCTGTTTGCTGGCATACAAGTCCTTGTAGTAATTTCTGATGATTCTTTTTATTTCTGTGGTGTCTGTTGTTACATTTCCTTTTTCATCTCTGATTTTATTGATTTGGGTCTTTTCTCTTCTTTTTTTAGTTAGTTGGGCCAATGGGGTGTCAATTTTGTTTTTCAAAAAACCAGCTCCTCGTTTGGCTGATTTTTTGTAATGTTTTTCTTGATTCAATCCTGTTGATTTCTTCTCTGATTTTAATTATTTCTCTTCTCCTACTAGATTTGGGTCTGGTTTGCTGTAGGTTTTCTAGATCCTTGAGGTGAATTGAAAGCTCATCTATTTGGTGCCTTTCCAATTTCTTGATGTAGGCACCTATTGATATAAACTTTCCTCTTAACACTGCTTTTGCTGCGTCCCATAAGTTTTGGTATGTTGTGCTGTTATCCTCATTTACTTCCAGAAAGTTTTTGATTTCTCTTTTGATTTCTTCTATGACCCATTGTTCATTCAGGAGCATGTTGTTCAATCTCCATGTGTTTGCGTATTCTCTAGGGATTCCTGAGTTGCTAATTTCCAACTTCATTCCTTTATGGTCTGAGAAGCTGCATGATATGATTCTAATTCTTTTGAATTTGCTGAGACTTGCTTTATGGCCTAGTATGTGGTCAATCCTAGAGAAGGTTCCATGTACTGCTGAGAAGAATGTAAAATCTTTAGCTGTAGGATTGAAAGTTCTGTATATATCTGTTAGATCCATTTGGGCTATAGTGTCGTTTAAATCTACTGTATCCTTGTTGATCTTCTGTCCTATTGATCTGTCTATTTCTGAGAGTGGAGTATTGAAGTCCCCCAGTACTATTGTATTGGCGTCTAAGTCTCCCTTTAAGTCCGTTAACAAATCTTTTAAATAAACCGGTGCCCTGTAGTTGGGTGCATATACATTGATAATTGTTATATCGTCTTGTTGTATTGATCCCTTAATCATTATATAGTATCCCTCTTTGTCTCTCTTAATAGTTTTTGTGGTAAAGTTTATGTTGTCCGATATTAAGATGGCTACACCCGCTCTTTTTTCATTTTTGTTGGCAGGGTATATCTTTTTCCAGCCTTTCACTTTCAGTCTGTATGCATCTTTGTTGGACAGATGTGTTTCTTGTAAGCAGCAAATAGATGGGTTTTGTTCCTTAACCCAATCAGCCAATTGGTGTCTTTTAACTGGACAGTTCAGGCCATTAACGTTCGATGTGACTAATGATAAGTGGTAATTCTGCCCTGGCATTTGCCAAAGATAAGTTCTAATATATGCTTTGAATTCCCTGTGATCTTTTGCTGTGAGGTTTCCTCCCTTTACCTTCTTTCATATTGATGACCGTGTTTCTGTGTTTCTGTGTGTAACACATCTTTAAGCATCTTTTGCAGGGCTGGACGAGTGGCAACAAATTCTTTCAATTTCTGTTTGCTATGAAAAGTCTTTATTTCACCTTCATTCACAAATGATAGCTTTGCAGGATATAATATTCTGGGCTGGCAGTTGTTCTCTCTTAGTACCTGGGCTATATCTCGCCATTCCCTCCTAGCTTGTAGAGTTTCTGATGAGAAGTCAGCTGTGAGTCTGATTGGAGATCCTCTGAGAGTAATCTGACGTTTCTCTCTTGCACATTTTAGGATCTTTTCTTTATGTTTCACTGTGGAGAGTTTAATTACAACGTGTCGTGGTGAGGATCTCTTTTGGTTGTGTTTATTAGGGGTTCTGTGAGCTTCCTGCACAAGGATTTCTCTGTCCTTCTCCAAACCTGGGAAATTTTCTGCTAATATCTCACTATAAAGGCCTTCTAATCCTTTCTCCCTCTCCATGCCTTCAGGAACTCCTAGAACCCGAATGTTGGGTTTTTAAATAGTATCCTGAAGATTCCTGACAATATGTTTTAGATTTCTAATTTCCTCTTCTTTTCTTTGGTCTGACTGTATCCTTTCCTGTTCTCTGTCTTCTAAATCCGATATTCTCTCTTCTGCTTCACCCATTCTGTTTGTAAGGCTCTCTATTGTGTTTTTCATTTGATCTATTGAATTCTTCACTTCAGTCACTATCACAGTTTCCTGTTGTACTAGTTGTTTCGTTTCATTTTGATTCCTCCTTAATATTTCATTTTCACGAGAGAGATTTTCTATCTTGTCCATTAAGGATTTCTGTAGTTCAAGAATTTGTTTTTGAGAACTTCTTAATGTTCTTATCAATTTTTTGAGATCTGCTTCTTGCATTTCTTCTATGTCATCATCTTCATAATCTTGAATTGGGGTGTCTTTTTCATTTGAGGGCGTCATGGTGACTTCCTTGTTTTTATTACCTTGGTTTTTGCGTTTGTTATTTGGTATATTGGAGATATTTGGTTTCTTCACTGTGGTGCTTTTTCTTGTTATACTATGACTCTAGATTAAGTGGACTATCTGTTTTTGATGGAGCCTTAGGGCTTGAGGTAGGTGTGGCCTGAGAGCTCTGTTTGGTGTGCCAAAGGTGACACTCCCAGGTTAGGCGTGGTAAATCTCTCTCTCTCTCTCTCTTTTTTTTTTTTTTTTTATTCAAAAGGGAAGTAATTCCACACAGCTGAGCGAAGTTGGAGGTAGTTAGCAGGCAAATGATATACCCACAGGAGCCAGAGATCGGAAGCTCTTTCCCAAGGACCACACAGGGAATCTGTTCGGCCCTCAGAGTGGGCTCAAATTCTCCTTCAGTCTCCCACTGGGTTGCCAAAGTTACGGAATTGTAGCATCTCTGGAGAGTGCTCACGTGAATTCCGTGAGTTTTCTCCCCCACCGTCTCTTTTTTCACAGTCTCAGTTCAGTAGCACCATAAATTTACTAGGTCCTAATCTCCTGTTAATTCGCCCCGCCCAGAGTCAGGTT